CCGCCGCCCCCCGCAGCGCTGCCGGGCCGCCCACCCCGCGCCCCGGGGGCTCGCGTCCCCCACGCGCGGGCGTGCCGCGCAGGGTTTGGATGGCGCGGAGCTGGCTGGCTGCAGGGCCGCCCTCAAGTCGCAGAGGTGCTCGCCGAAACGGATTCCTCGGGGAATCGGCTGGCTTAGCTGCTGATGGGGGAAAGCGGTGACTGGCGCAGGGGCTGCCTCTAGATGCAGAGGCATGCCTCGTGGAGGAGGAGAATTTAAATGAGACAGAAAGCTGCGGGGATAAACGGGTTTGCTCAATTCAGCGAGGATTTTTTTCTTGCCTTAATATTCTGGTCCTCCTTTTCCATGAAAAGGCTCGCTCGTGATCCTAGCGTTAGGTCAGTAAATAGTGCTCCGCGCGGCAGGGAAGCGTTTACCAGAAATAAGCTTTAAGTAGAAAATGCCGTCAGCTTCAGCGAGACCAGAATTTCCTTCCTTTTATGCTACTCCCGACTCTCGCATCTAACTGGGAATGGTCTAAGGATGAATTAGTGTTTCTTCAGTGACACCGAGAATATACAGCGTCGTATAAATGCTAAGTACCAACCGTCCATCTTTCCATGAAAGCTAGGTACAATACTTCAACAGTTAGCAGTCTCTTGCTGCTCCCACTGGTCCTTTACCAAACTTCATTTCACCTTTCTGGCAAGAGTCTCGCAGTCGGTCAGAGAAAAGTAAATTCATCCTAGGCCAGGCAAGTAAAATCAGGGCAAAGTCGATACAGTAGCAGGAGGAGTTACTGTGGCTCGGTCCTCTCCCATGAAGGGGCACTTGGGAGAGCACCAGTTTTGCTATTTGCCACTCTTCCAAGCCGCAGAAGAGCGACCCAAGTACCGCTGCCAGAGCACCCGTTCCCCAAGGAGGGGGCAGAGCCGCTGTAACAGCCGTTGATGTATCCACACAGGGGAGGAGAGGGGGGAAGAGAAGTCATTTTTCCAGCACTGTTAGGACCTAACAATTCCACACTTCCAGGTAAGAGGGAGAATTAGGTTCTAAAGTAAGTCTAGAGGTCGTAGTGCATGTATGTCTGCCTGCAGGGAAGGAGAGAGACGCGGGATCATATCCACTGTGTCTGATTTCCCTCTTTACATAGAGAGGCAGGGCTGAGCAAAAGCTAGATTTTGTCAGATCTTCTTAGGCACATTCTGAGAAAGTCTCTGTATATTTATATACTGTGATAATTACAAGCATAGAAGCAAGAAGGAAATGCTGAGGCCCTTGCCAGTTTCATTCATATTCATTGAGAAAACACATGGATCTTCCCCAAGTCACAGATGTTCAATATGAAAATGCCTGAATTCCATTGAATCACAGCAAGTTTGGAAAAACAGCCATGTCCCATGCAGCCTATGCAGTCACTAAGAAAACATGTGAATCACGTTCGATCAGGCACATTCACTGAAAAACTAAACAAAACCTGCTGCTGCCAAGGTCAGGCAGTGCCTAAAGAGCAAAGTTCTGTATTCAGATACAGCATGCACGAAGATAACGGGCGAAAAAATAAGATGGACGTAGTTGTCTCTGGTTCTGGCAGCATTCGTGTATTTTGTGAGACCAGGGCACTTCTATAGTTCTATACGGTTCTATAACAAGTAAAGTTGTATAAAAGCAGTGTCCAACTATAGCGTTTCCAGAAATACCACATCTTTAGGGCACTACAGATGTTCTGTCTACTGGGAGCGTGAGCCTGACCTTGTAAGTGTTCCTCCACCTTCTTCATCGTTCTGCTTTCTCTGAGCCTTTTCTCCTTTCCTCCATTCCCTTCTTAACCTTTTTCTCTCCCTCTCTTTTGCCATGTCCATGACCTCATTCCTTTTCTTCCACAAATCACAAACAGAAGTTTCTAAATCTTGAGATGTTTGCTGTCTCCTGGATATATTGAGCTACCCCTGCTGTTCCCCGTCTTCTCAGTGACATGCTGACCTACACGAAAAAGAGAAGTGGCATCAGCTAAGACACGGAGGGAAGCTGCCACAATGACATTATCCCAAAGGAAGCAAGGGTCCAAAGTTTTAGTGCACTAGCTACCACCTCCTACATCCTCAACAGGTCTCTCTCATAGTGCAGACACTTGCCAGTTCCTCAGATCTACCAAGTCTTCTAGCGTAGAAAGTGGACAGGAGCGTAACCTTGCCTGAAGGCAAGGGATGTTGGTTAGAGCATGCCAAACGCCAGTGCGTTCCAGTTTAGAAGGGATCGTCTGCGAGCCAGCATGCTCAGTCAGACAGCAGTAACAGTTACTTCTTCAGCTGTCTTCCCCTCCTTTTCCTGGAGGTGGCCACCTCTGGCTTCGTAGACAGGTGAACAGCATGTGAATCAGCTTTCAAACCACTGAAGTTTCCAGCCCTGCCTCTTCAGGCAACCCTACATGGGCATCGCCCTTCTCTACCAGCGAGGCAGTGAACTCTGGTGCTCCAGAGCAGCTCTGTATGCCAGTTCAGCTGTCCTTGTGGCAGGGACCCAACCTCCAGGAAAGGAGCAAGGAAGGAAACTGGAAAGTGATAACTGTATCAGCTGCTCAAATTTAATCAGCCTGTATTTGTAAATCAATATTTGCTGTAGCTTGATCCTCCTTGGATTAATTGGAAATTCTTTTTCCTTCAAGGAGAATTAGTGTAGCAAGCTAAAGCTGTGGTAGGATACTAGTGCACAAAAGATCACTGAAACAGAGATAGTGTTGTTACAACGATGAAGGCCCATCATTATTAGAATTAATTCTATCTGCAAGCATTGTCTTGCCCATGCAACAGCTGTGGCAGCTTAAGATGTGACCCTCCCACGCTGAAGACATAGATGGCTGAGGTGGTAAAGCAGCATGACTACTTCCTTTTCTGCAGCTCGCTGGCTTACTACAAACCATCTTCAGCAGCAGTTTAAGACAAACCAGCTGACTCGGGACTGACTGACGCAGGGTGGGAGCACTACAGGAACCCATTTCAGTGCTCATCGGATGGGCGGTAGCAGCCAGCTGAGGGCAGAGAGTGGCTGAACTGCTCCAGACAGAGCTGAAGCAAATAAAATAATAATAAAAAAAAAAGAGCATCTTTCCATGAAGTTATTTCCTGTGCTGTTTGAAGGCTGTATGGTCTCAGCTGCTTGTTACTGCCTTTCAGCCAGCAGGCACCACGCTTCCATTTCTGCCTACCAGGTGGTATCCCCTGATCCTCTGTGGGTTTACTTTTAAGAACAAAGATTAGTTTAAGGAACGCTGAAACAACGGTTTCTGTTAACCTCAGTGATTTTTTTCCTACGCTGGATTACAGAGATCCCATATAAATCAGCTTTCTGGCAAAATTATGGGGTGAGGAAGCACTGGTATCTTCAACTGTTGCAGCTGGATCTAAGAAAGGATGTCTGTCTATAGCCTTACTGGCTGGGGTCACTACAGATATTCAGCCTGGAATATGTGATGTATGGGGAAAGCGTTAACTTTGCAGATCATCAGGTGTTTCATTATTTATAGTTCCCCAGGCATACGTATATTGATTTCAGCAACACCTCTTTGAAGGAGCGTCAGCTGCACAAAAGATTTGCTGGTGACCCAATGAAGGCTGGTCACAGTTACTATAATAGAAAGCTGGGTGTAGGACTGGTTTCCTTATAAATGCAGTGAAGTGTAGTTAAGAGTGATTTCCCCCCGCCCGCCCCAGTAGCCATCCCTTTACTCTTGAGCACGAATTAATTTGCAGAACTCATTTTGCTGTGGAACAGGTGCTTTGCCTTCACTGATGAAGAATCATGTTGTTGCCAGAGTCTGACTGGAGATAATGTTCCTCAGTCTGTCTTCAAAGGTAGGAAAGATGCTGGTTTGAGAGCTGTGAGGCTACAGTACAAATACCAGTAGTGGAGTTTTTTCCTTTCATTCCTGATGTACCATGATGCCTTCACCCCCTTCTGTAGAGTGGATGTTGCTGACGCCTTCTGTGGGCAATTATTTCAGAATTTGTCACTCAGATATAACTGTCTAAGTAGGATTATCCAGATCAATATTTTCACATTAACTTTATTTCTAGTTCACTTGTCTCATATGCTATCATTCAGGCCTAATCACCTGTCCCAATGTTGTCTTTCCATCTTAGGGATCTTCATTAGTCTCTTTGCTGTCGATCCTGTTCTGTTTCTACTCCACACCTTCCCAGCTGCAAAGCCGAGTGTCACATCACTTGTAAAGATGATTGCTCAGATATGTTTGGACCTGCCTGGAAAATTTGAACATGTTCTTCTACTCACATTGTATTAATCCCACTATCCCCTGCAGGATGAAGACATTTCTTTTTATGCATAATACATAACTGATCATTTTTTATTAACAAAGTTTCTAGAAAATATGAAATAAAATATGAAAACAAATATTAACAAAATTAAGTGAGATTCTGCTAGATAGGTGTTCATTCAGATTTTGACATCCTACCCTTTTTTTTATATGTATCTACATTTAGTTTATAAACTTAGCCACGGATTTTATTACTCTAGCAATGGCATTTATCCAAAAGTAAAAGACCCTATTCTTTATTGCTGTTTTCTTCCTCGTGTGGTTTGCAATCTATATCACAATTAACATACTATAAAGTTATCTTTAAAACAGAAGGAAGGCTTCTTTCTTCTGCCATCTGTTATTCTGACAAGCTGATGCAGATTCGAAGCAATCGTTTTAAGAGGGCAAAGAGTTCACCCTTTTGGGCCAGGAATAAACACTCAAGAACTTCCCACTACATGGGCTGCATTTCACATAAAGCTGTCTTTTGCCATCTGCTTGCCACCACTGAATCCAGAGCTTAGTGGTCTCTCTAAAACTTGGAGGTGAGCTCCAGAAAGCTTGATAAAATATAATCCCAGGTCGGATTTAATACTCCCTTGATATAATACCTCCCTTGACTACTGTGTTGAATTTTCACATAAAATGTATGAGGTTATCTAGATTATCTACTTTTTTCACACAATAATAGATCA